TGTATAGAATAATTAGTATATTGCTGATGCATAGCCATTTAGCAATACATAAATGATTGTGCTATAAGTGGAAAAAGAAAATAGTGCCAATAAGAAAACAGAAATTACCCATATAAATCTATGATTTATTATGAAGGTTATTTGACTTCATTTCAACTGGGAAGTATTTTGAGAAATTTCCATTTCTATGATTTTAACTGAAATTAGGTTCTTTTGTTGAGGAAAGATAGGATGAGAAATTGTCCTGTGTGGTATGGTCAAATAGTCCCTTGGGAAGGAGTCATCCAACTTCTTCTTTCTCACCATCATTCCAGAGCATCGTTTAAATTATTCAATAATGCACTCTTCTGGCAGAGATTGTTTATGAGGGGGAAAAAATGAACTAGAAAGCTTCAACTTGGCTTAACTTAAATGTCACATAAAACCAGTTCTTGCTCATACACTCTGAGTAAATAGCTGCGGGGACTCTTAGCAGCCAGAGCTAGCTGCATACTAGTGGAGGGTCCCTTTGGTGCTCTCAGAACTTTCTTTTAACTTTGAGGCTAAATAGTACTTGGGTTCTTTCTATTGAGAAAATGCTACCTATAAAATTATGGCTCGAAGACTAGCTATTCTTGAATGAAAAAAATCCCACATATCTACAGCAAGTAAAAGCTATATTTTAAAATTGGCCGATTTCATCTTTTATATATACACATTACATTTGTTTCCTCAGGCTGTCCCACAGTGTATTCACTTTATTATGAGCTTTGTTTCTATCAGCTGGTGTCAGATAGAAAACCAAAAATTACCTCTTTGAGAATGCATAGGGATTCTACTAGTGGGCCCACCTCAGGGTCCTAGCAGCTACTCCATTCCTGGGACCTCTGCCGCCTCCACTACTGCTGCCCACCTCGTAGAGAGCAAGTGGTGTTGAAAATATTCAGCCACTTGGACAGAGGTTTCTGGCCATCAGAATGGACACTGGCTGCAAGAACCAGTTCAGGCATGCTGGTGTGTGCCGGCTAAAGCTCAGCCTGTGCAGGTGGGCCCCAGGGCTTGGCTGGCTGTTCCTGGGCTGGCCATATCCATGTTTGTCAGGCCCTGCCAAGGCCTGTTTGCCTCCTGCTGCTGTCGTTAGGAGGGGTCTGTGGCAAGAGACAACCTCTCTGCCTCTCTGGGTGACGTGTCCTTAGAGAGCAACAAGAGCATTGCTCCTGCTGCGTGTGCCAAAAACCACCGGGAGTTTGCGGTGAAACAAATCCCACCATGTTTGTTTAGAGCCTTCTCCCTTTCTAGGAGGCCCCAGAGGGGTCATTTGCTCAAGGCTCCTCGTCATGCAAAGTCTCAAATTTAGACTTTTGATGTGATTTCCAAGTTTAAATATACAGTCTTAGAGAGGTGCTGACTGGACTAAAGAGGGAGATGTTTATCTTTAAATCGGATCTCATTACCAGACACAAGAAGCTCTAGTTCTTCATAACTTGACATGTCTATAAATCCTGTCATTTTCTTGGGAATATCATGATACACACAACAATTTGTTGCTATTATTATCAGTCTCCCATTTGTTCATTGCACATTTTTAAAGAATTAACAATTTTTTTCACAGGTTTTGGCACTTGCGTTTTTAATATATAGAAAGCCTGGGAAATGGGGATGACCTAACTTCTCACAAACTCTGAGAGGCCCTGGCTCCAGGCTGGCTCTGCCCAAGTTAACTGACCTGTTGTTAGAATCCTGCTTCCCACAACCAAAGCTCTATTGTCAGGCAAGCTGGTTGGACTGACTTTCTCTTCCCTGGGGATGAGTTTGTTCCCAGAAGTCTCCTCCATCTCTCTGACAAGAAGACTTCCTCTGGGCTGGACTGAATTTAGGAGGCCCAGTTTAAGCTAAACCTAAGATAACAGCCCTCCGTAGGAGCCAATCTACGATGATATCTAACATACTGATCATCCCTCAGCTTCCAACAGGAATTCACAGGGTGTTTGAGAACAACTGCTCAAGAGTTTCCTTCTGTTATTTTTTAAGTTCCTGACTGAGGCATCTTCTGAGAGAAAAAGAGCAGTTTTCAGGTGGGTCCAGGAGCCCAGTTCTGGGTATTCTAGGTTCCAGGGTATTCTCTGAAGTGCTAAGGACTTGCACTCATACAACAAATATTGCTCTTGGTTTTTGACTTTGGGGACAAATAGAAGAGGAAAAGGCACTGTTAATAAGGGCAAAAGGAGACTTAAGGGAACTCTCTCTTCCTAGGAGACATCAAAGCTCCTGGGCCAGGGGTCACCAGGTCAGTTCCACATCAACCTCTGCGTGAACTTGGGTCAATGGCCCATCATTTGGCCCCATGTTCCTTGGATGTGAGATTCTCTGGTGTGTAGTTTCTCACTTTCTCTGCATCTGTTGTCCACTCTGGGTACCAGGATTTCAAATTGAACTTGGCACTGTCCTAGAAGATCAATTAGAATAGGTCCATGAACACTGAAAATTGTGCTAACAATGTACCACTTTGAGTCAGAGCTTCTTGAAAATGAATTAAGTTCATTAACTTCTAGTCGTTGGAACAAAGCATTCTTTCCAATTAAGAGAGTTGGCCACGGAAGACCTGCCAAAATGTTTCATTATGTGTAATCGTATTAAGGCAGACTTGATTGTGGAGCTTAGGATTTTCATTTTGTTTTGTTTTTCAGTATCTCACATGATTTAATCACCTCGTCCTGGGTTATATAATTCACCCCTCTTTGTGACTGATTTTTTCCATCTAGGAATATAGAAAAGTTGCTATCTTCAAATACAGAAATATGATGATAATTACTGAGCATATTTTATTTTTTATTGGTGTATTATAGTTGTATATAGTGATGGGATTCATTGTTACATATTTGTACATGCACACAATAGAACAATATAATTTGGCCAATATCATCATTCCCCAGTGTTACCTCTTTCCCTCCTCTCCTCCTTTTCTCTGTTCCCAAAAGGACTGAGCAACAGTCTCTATTTGACTCATCTCCCTTTGGTTTTCATGAACTGAGCATTTTTTAAATCCTCTGAATTCCCTGGATGAAAGAAATTATGGAAAATTAACCTGCAAAGAAGCTAAGACGAGTATTTGACAAATATTATTTCATCCAACCTCAACATCTTCATAAAAGACCAATATTAAGGAATGGAGATGCTAAATGACTTGTCAAAACCGTACAGCAAGAATGCACATTCATTCATTAACACATAGATGTGTATAATTTCTTATGAGTGCCAAGAGATGTTTAAGACAAGTTAGGAAAATTTACAAAAGTAATAATAAAAGATTCTGAATCCATCTCAATCTAAACTACATATAACATAGATCAAATCTGTATTCATCTGAGACTTTAGGGAAACATTTAGGCTTCTCTTCTAGATAACGGAGGTTCATTTAAAATTAAACTTGAACACTAATTTACAGCATTCATTTATCACTTGTCTACAGTTGCACTTGAGGTTAAATTATGAGCATGGAGTCAATTTTTACAAGCATAAATACCCATCGCCTTTCTGGGGGATAATTTCAAACTTGTACAACATCAGCTATTAAGGTCTACCATGCTTTCAAAATCATATCAAAATTAGGTAATCAATTTTTCATGGAAACTATAAAAGCCCCTCCTGGACAGAATTTCTTTTCATTTTTGTGATCTTAACACTGACCCCACTTGGCTGTCACCATCACCTGGGCTTCCTCTGCTGTCTACACTGAAGCTCAGTTTCTCAGGGATTTAGAGAAAAGAACTGTTAACTCTTTCTCTTTACCCCCATCATCCTAGCACAGATTTTTTCTTGCCTGCTCTTAGGAACTTTGAATCAGCTAGCAAAGCCTTAGGGAAGGGACAGCTTTGTTTTAGAGAGGGTGAGGCCATTTTGAAAAATGGCCCCAGCTCTCCCTGCTAGCTTGAGTAAAAGTGGGAAAGCAAGGGGAAGCTGAGCATGGAACAAGACAAGGAAGAATGACAGTTTCTTCATTCCTGAGGAGGCGCCACTTCACCTTGGTGGGAGGGTATGTGGACTCTATAACAAAGCCAGGCAAACCCATAACATAAAAAGCGAATGTAGGCTTATTCCAGGGTGACAGGCCTTGTATCGTTTAGCATTTTAGGTTACTGATGACATTTCCATAGGTAACTGGGACTATTACACATGGATAGAAAGAGCAGGGCTGAGGAGAGCAGTAGGAAGGAGAGAATTACTTGTCAATGATTTTATTTTATAGTACAATCAGTCTCTATTCCTTTGCAAACTAAATGAATAGGAAGAGGTGGTCAGAAGTGTGCAGTGTATTTGTGGAAATCCTCAAGGTGGAACTAAAGAAAAGCATTTGGGTTTGCAAAGACCATTGAAGTGAATTAAAACTTTTCGAAATTTCACCTCCCTAAGGAAAAAGTATTCCACAAACTTCAGTTTGAAAGACTAGTTTTAAAGAAAGAAGGATCACGCTAAGTAGGGGGTTCAGGCTCGGGTTAATAAGTTCAGAACAAATATGCAAAGAATTTTAAAAGAAAGTTGTGTTCATTGATTACATAACTAATAATTTTTATGAACCCCACTTTAAAAAATTGATTTCTTAAAAGGGTGCTTATAATGCTCTCTTGTTTATGTATTGTCCGTTTGCAACAATAAATGAAAAAAAATGTATGTGTGTTTACAAGCGAAGTTGTTGACCAAACTTTTCAAAATGAAAAAGATTTATACATTGTGTTGTGTAAACACAGTTGATGGAACCCATCATACGAGCAGAGGGTATGTAACTCATTTTTTTTTTTTTTTAATTTTTACCAAAAAAAAAAGTCCTAACCAGACTTCCATCCTCGCTTTACAGCTCTAGGTCATTCCGCGTCCCACCAGATACTCTCCCCGTTGTCCACGCATCCAGCGCGCTCACGCACGCGCACACACCACACACATACACACGCGCGCGCACCTACACGCACACAAACGGACAGCTCGCCCCGCTGGTCTGTCACGCGAGCCCAGCCTTCTCACTTTACCTTCCGAACAGGCAGGATGCCGGCCGCCGCTGGCTCCGTAGCTGCCATCGGTCTCCGCCTCTCTCCCCTTCTGGTTCAGCAGATTGGGGCCCTCTGTGTTTTCAACAGGTACCATGGTCACGTAGAGTTACAGCCTCTCCCTCGCCAGCAGACTACCCCGACCTCCCCCGCGGACAGGAGTGGTCACTTGTCCCATGGTAGCATGCTAAAGAAGAGTGAGGGGGGAAAAAAAAAAAAAAAAAAACTTCGGGCAAAGCCAATGTGATTTGTGACCAACTTTGTTTCTATTTCCGAAGGCTTTGCCCTTTTCGGTGACACAGGCTGTTGCTATTCCAAGCAGCCTATCACAGCCAGGGGGAGGGCCCCGTCTCCAGGGTTGTTTTTGCCTTTAGATGCGGACTTGGAAGCAAGAGGTTAAAAGACTCTGGGACTGGACTCAGACACAGTGTTTGGCCATTAGCTAGGGCTAGCTCTTGTATGCCTGCACCTTTGAAAAGAGCCAGAGAAAAGAAACAGATTTAAATGCAAGCTGAGAGTGGGGACAGAATAACTCAGATTTTATCAGTTAATCTTGCAGAAGAGGAACAGTTTATGCAAAGACACACCAGAAGGAAAAGTGTGTCAAGTTTTCAGCAGGTCTGTTGTTACAGGAATCATAACACTTACCAACTTAAACAAAGCATAAAACGTCTTTAATATTTCAGCCTAAATTGGGTCTAGGTAAATGCCTTATTTACCTCTCTCCAAGGCCTGTCCAACAAATCAAGGCTTGCTACCAATTCAGAATACATAGATTCTTTAGACTTATTATATCCTGAGATTATAACAAAGTAGCTTTTTAACGTGTAACTGTCTTTAAGAGAGGCACTAATCCTGAATCTTCTGTCAGGTTGCTTGATTGCTTGGGTAGGAGGATACTCCTAGTTGGGGAAGGCTGGCGGGTGGAAAAAATCCACTGTGTGGGTGTGATGGTCATATAATCTGAAACAAATCAGAGTGTGTGAAGGGAGGTTTGTTTTTCTTATTCATGCAAATATATATAGTCTTTCAGAGCTGTGATTTTTTTTTACCTTTGGTATACATTTAGCAAATCATATTTGTTGAAAATTTTATAGAGGAACCTAGGATTATTTTAGAAAATCATTCTGAATGAAAACTAAAATATACCTAATACATATGTGCCAGAAATAATGCTAAGTTCATTCAAATGATTCTTCTGAAAAAAATAAAAACTTGTGAGGCATGTGCTACTATTACTGAAGAGAAAACGGAGGCTGAGTAACTTGCCTTTTCTTGACCTTAAGAAGATGCCCTGAAGTGTGATCAATAGTCCTAGTCACTCCTCTGCACAGGGAACCAATCCATGCTTGTGTAGGCAAAAGATGACTGTCTTTGCTTCCTTTCCACGTTTTTACTAGATCACCACCAAGCTCTTCATTAACACCATTTTTAAAAATTCTTTTTCATCACTAGATATTTCTGTACTTTTCTTATCCTTTAGGGAATCAGACACATCTGCTGATAATGCAGAAAAACTGGAGTCCTTCTAGTGTGGCCCAGGCCTGTTCTGATTAACAGGGTAGAAGTACAAATCCCACACATCAGCTTGTCCCCACTTAACAACAACATCAACAACAACAATGCTTAGACAAGTGCTCTAATTTGTTCCCAGGATGTGTGATGATGGTAGGAGCAGGAGTTTTTAGTCTGTGAGACACACGTACTTTTTATCAGTTCTCCATCTTCTCTTGAGTTCTATCTTCTCTCTGCTTGGAACCAGTGACCTTAGTATTGGTATGGGGAGACAATGTTCTTGCTGTGGGTGAGTCATATAATTGCTTTGTTTCATGACCCTCAGGACCCGTGTCTTTAGCAATTTGTTGGCAAGGTGGAAGTGTTGGACTGTTTGCTATAACAATTGAGTAGGCACGAGATAAACCTGATTCCAGATTACCAAATCATGCTTAGGAGGAATTCAACAATTCTCCTTTTGCTTTCTGTAGCTGAACTATACAGGTTCTCCATGGGTATAAATCAATCAGAAGTTAAGAGAAATAACGAAATGTGACTAACCATATTGTCCATAGGTACACCTAATTCTCTTCCTTTTCTATTATTGTTGGCCCGACAAGGGCCACTGGCTATCTGAAGCATATTTCATTCTCTTAACTCAGAGAAAAGTTTAGAGGGGGGACATTTCTTTCATCCAAACAAAAGAGGGACATTTTCTCTAAATCCCTTCAAGACCCTATACTCCTTCCCAGAAATTTTCATACTTCTAACTTATTATAGTTACATACAGTGATTTGATTGCATCTATATTCCTTGCTAGATCAAAAACTCCAAGAACGATGGACCAGGCCCATGTGGTTTACTGTAGCATCCCAAGTGCCTTGTACAGAAAAAAAATTCTTGGTAAATATTCCTGGTTCTGTTAGGATTCATATAAGAATACTCCAAAGCTTAGTCCTGTGGCATGCTGGGTACTTTGAACAGAAAGTTCAAAAGGAAAGGCATCAGAAGCAATGTTTCTTTGACCTTCTTCTGCCCTCCTACCTCCCACCCCCTTCATCCTCCCATAAAGCAAGTGATAGAAATCAGAATTCCTGTTCCTCAATGCCGCAGTCTGGCTGGGCACACAATCACGAGCCACCACACAGCTTGTAGATTCAAACAGCAACTCTTTATTCCCGAACTCACACCAGCCGTCTACAATCACGTTCTGGGGAAATCCACGTTCTCTGCCCAAATCCACGTTCTCTGCCCAAATCCACCTCCACTGGGCTTCTATCTCCAAAATATACTGTCTGAATCACGTGAGAACTCAAGGGGAACTCAGGCAGCAGGATACGCCCTATTCCCAGCAGGAATAATCTTAAACCTTAAACCTGGAACCTAAACTGGGAACGCCCTAAACACGATTATCTTAAAACCGGGAACACCCTAATCTGCCTTGGTCCTTGAGCAAGGTCACCTACATTCAATGTCGCTGCAACATGTCAGCAACATGGGGTACGCTGGCAAGGAAATTGTCATACCTACTTGGCTAATGGCTCCCAGCACCTCAAGGTGGTGATAGAAACTAGAATTGCTTTTTTCCAAAGCAAGCTGTAAATTCTAAAAAGGTTACACTCTGTCCCTTCTTCCTTGAAGAGGGTCCTGCCCCACAATCAGTAGGGAGGAATACTATATGGAGAGGCCAAGAAGAATCTGGACAGTCTATGCTGTGATTCCCCACTCATTTTATTATGATGAGATCATATTCTTTTGTCCATTCATATTTTATAGGCATGTCCATTCTTCACCAAACCTAAACATAAAAATGGACAATTTTACCTGGGTCTTTGGGTCTTATTTCTGAAGTCTTATATGTCACGCAAAAGTTTGATTAAATTTATTATGCTTTTCTCTTGTTAATCTGACTTTTGTTATAGTCATGCCAGCCATGACCCTTATGATAGGGAAGGAGAAATATCTCACATTTCTACCCCTTCAGCTGACAGACTGATCCAGTAGTGAACTTTATCATTACTAGAAAGTGAGCTCCAAGAGGACAGACACCTCTGTTTGTGTGTGTGTGTGTATATATATATATATATATATATATATATATATATATATATATATATATATGTTCATCTGTTTCTGTATCCCCAGTTTCTAGGACAATATCAGGGTTTTTTAAAATAAATGATTGCTCACAAAAGGAACTTTTAATGAACAAATAACTCTTTAGATTTTTAGTATGAAAACTCATGTGATGATTGCTAATGATACTTCGTCTTTCCTCTCTCCTTTCTGTCCACCTCTTTAAAGCACGTATCATCACCAGAAGTCACTGCAGTTGGAGCTACTACCATCATTAAAAGCTATTTCTCCACTCAAGGAACATATAATCAGCCATCAGCAGACAGCTCATTGCTCATAACCCCCAAAATTTAGCTACATACCATTTTAGCCACTGCTCATAGGCAATGTTATCAAATCCCAAAACACTCATCATGACTTAAAATTAACAAAGAAGTGAACTAAGTGCTTTGCTTTATGAAGTAAATACTATTACCTCCTTTTGCAGAAATCAGAACTAAGAAGCTTATGAAACAGATCCAAGATCAAAAGACATTTTCTAATGTTTGATTATGAAAATTTTTAGTCACAGAGAAAAACCTAGCTGCTATAACATTTTACTGTGCTTGCCCATCTACCCACCTACTGACTATTCTATTTATCCATTGATCTATATTAGTTTTTATGTATTTTAAAGCAAACTGGAATACTTAGCATTAACTAGAGATCAATATTTGTTTAGAATTATGTGCTTTGGAGGGGGCAAGTTTTACCTAAAATGCAGAGCACAAATCCTCAGTTTACCATTAGATGTGTTCAGAAAGCACACATACATGTACCATCCAAACCCCTCTTACATGACAGAACTTGACTGTTATCCCAGAAAGTTCTTCATGTCTCCTGTGTCAATTTTACCAACCTCTAGAAGTGACCAAATGTTCTAATTGTTTTCTACATAAATTGCCTTTCCCTGTTTTAAATCTTCGTGCAATAGAACTGTTGAGTAATTACTCTTGGGTAAGACTTTTTTCACGGAGCATGATTTCAGATTCATCATGTTTTTGTGTATACTGGTACCTCATTCTGTCTATTGCTAAATGATATTCCATAGGTGAATATACCAAAGTTAAGCCCTTCTCCTACTGATGGGTGCCTGGACTGTTCTACCTCAGCTATTATAAATAAAGCTGCTTATGAGCATTCTTGTGCAAATCTTTTTGATGAACATAATATTTCAAAGCACAGCAGTCCAAGTCTGTTTGGTTCCAACCCTACGTGCTTTCCACTACACCCTGCTGCTTCTCTGCAGTGCACTATATTTGTGTGGAATGCATCTCCTGAGGTTTTATTCCAGAAGTGACGGGTTCACAGTGCAAATACAAATGGGTAAATCTGATATTTAGGTAAATAAACAAAATAGTCAGATACAAATTCAATTCTGTGTTAGCTGTATTCCAATAAAATACCAGAGTATGATTGAAGAATATGTATTATTTCATCTATCTATGCTATTTAAATTACTCTCTAAAGGTTTTTAATGTGACATTTTTTCCTATATTTCAAATGGTGCCAATCATAATATAATGATTAAAGTTCCTAAAATTCTAAAATAAACTGAAACTTGTTGGCACTGCCTGTAATCCCAGATATGTAGGAGGCTGAGGCAAGGGGACCATGAGGCCAGCCCGGGCAATTTAGCAAGGCCCTGTCTCAAAGATGAGAA